GTGTGTAGGCGGGTGAGATGTGAAAATCTATATTAACTTCTTACCCTGCCGTCTTCTTTTCTTTGCTGTGTGTAGGCGGGTGAGATGTGAAACTTCTTACCCTGCCGCCTTCTTACCATTTACCAGGGAGGTGTACACAATGCTGCAAGTCCTGGTGGTCCAGTGGTGGCATGTTCACTTTAGCCTGCAGCTCCTTATTTTCCTATCCTCCTGCGAGCACAGCACTGTACCGGGGCATTGCCATGGTAACGTGCGTCAATGCTCCAATCAGCCTGCTCGTGGGAGGAACTTAGAGTTTCCCAGGCACTTCCCTCCCTCTGCTGGAACTAAGTGCCAGCAGTCCAGTGAGGGAGATCTTTGATCTCCTCACCAGCCCGAGAGGGCTTACAGCAAGACTGGCTCTGCATGAGCCGGCAGGGGAGGTGAAAGGATCTCCTCTGCCGGCCTTGGTCCATGGCCATCGAGGCCCACTTGACATTTTCTGCATAACCCACCACCGCCCACCTGAAATCCCAAACCGTCAACTAGTGGGCACTAGGGACCAGATTGACTACCCCTGGTTTAAACAATGCCTCTCAATATGGATGGGAGAAAGATCTATCTAAAGAATTAGATTGTACCCATATATATTCTTTAACTTATTTAACATTTATACAAAACATACAATGCTTATCACACAGATACATCTAGGCCTAAAACAACAGTTTTGTGTACAGATTGCTGTCCAGGTATACTTAAAAAAAAAAAAAAAAAAAATGTTTCGATCTTTTTTAATGAATGTGTTCATCCTTAATATAAATATTAATTAACATGAGTATTGCAGAATATTTTGTCTGTTACTTTGGATTATATAGAATCCTGTGCAATTCAAAGGACATGAGCTCTGGTGGAGAAATTAGGTAAACAAAATCAGCTGTGGGAAATGTAAGTGAGGATTTACGTAACAGATTTTGTCCTGATTTTTTTTTACAGTGCATAACAAAATCAAGTACGAGGGAAGTGGTAGTATTAGTATTAATCCGTATCAGTATTAAAAGATCCCTATAGTGTAAGGAAAACAAACTCTCAGGGTCCCCCTCCCTTGGCGCTGAAGAGGTTAAAACCCCTTCAGCCATTTACCTGTATCCAGCGCCGGACTCCCTCGGCGCTGGTGAGCTCTCCTCCCCCGCTGACGTCCGCTCCTGAGTGGAGCGGAATGCACATGCACGGCAAGAGCCACACACGCATTCAAACAGTCCATAGGAGAGCATTTCTCAATGCTTTCCTATGGACGTTCTGCACGCTGGATGCAAATTTTGCATCCAGCTGTGCAGAAGCGCCTCTAGCAGCTGTCAGGAAGACAGCCACTAGAGGTTGGATTAACCCTGCAATGTAAACATAGCAGTTTCTCTGAAACTGCTATGTTTACATCTGAAGGGTTAAAACCTGGGGGACCTGGCACCCAGACCACTTCATTGAGCTGAAGTTGTCTGGCTGACTGTAGTGTTCCTTTAACCCCTTAAGTACACATGACATGTGTGACATGTCATGATTCCCTTTTATTCCTGAAGTTTGGTCCATAAGGGGTTAAGGCACTATTCATCTGATTATCTCATAGATTATAAAATGGTTTGTAAGCTCATTTGAGCATGGTCTTCTTCACCCCTTGCCTCTGTTCATTTTTGTATGTCATTTACTTCTTTTCAATTATTCCCATTTCTATAATTATAAAGCATTATGGAATATGTATGTGTATCTGTAATAAATTCTAGTAACATATAATATCGCAAATGTTCCATATACCAGTTCATGATCCAGAGATCCCCACCATAAATATTAAATAAAGTAAGAAACAGCAGTTTGACTGGAAGAGGATGACTAGACGAAAATAAATGTATTTTTCTTTAATGATAGATGGGATGGTTATGAACTGCAATACTAATTACATTCATTGTAGAAGAGAATGGAGTAGACTTCCACAAGTTAGTTACATGGACTAATGTTGTGTGGCAATTCAAGAATGCCTGTAGCAAATAAAATCAACAACAAGAAAAAAAATGGTACCATTATTTAGGAAATAGGCAGACCAGGTGGGCCAATTGGTTTTTAACTGTCGCCATAATTTGACTCATAATTTTTCAACCTGTGCCATTTCATTTACGTAGAAGAAGTTTTTAATTAATCTTAGTTAGTATTCCTTCTGCAATTTTCACAACTAATCATTCTTCAAGCTCATATTTCTTAAATAATAATAAACACGGGAAAATTAAATATGCAAAAATGTAATCTTATATATTTTGTCTTCTCTTGCTTGTTGCATGTAAATGACCATACCATCTGTATAAATAAGGCTCTGCAATTACATATTTAAAAAGGAAACAGTAACACAATAAAAAAACTATAAAAAACAAAGTAAATCAAACAAATGAAATATACTTAAAATATAAGGTATTTCTACTTCTCGTAATGAAATATAATCCCTGTACATTTTTAATATTTTCTTTTAATTATTATTATTATTTACATTTAATATATGTTTAAACTAGGTATGTAACTGGTTTATTGTAGAGGTGTGTTTGAGAAAAAAAAGAGTAAATTGGGGTATTTAAATTCTAATTTTAATAAAGAACTAAAAAGGCATAAAAATGGATACAGAAAAGGTGCCAAGGTCCACCAAAAATAGCTTAATAACAAATAGTTTTGTTCACACACAATAAAACGTCATGAGGCCTTTAAAATAATGTGAGATAAATTATCCCTTATAATCTACCAGTTTCAAGGTAACAATAAGATACATTTAAGCTATCTACTTTGAAATTACCCCACTAATGATACGTTGCAACTGACAAAAGCCTTCCAAGCTTTGTCCATACCAAGGCAATTTTAATAATTGCTGTTCAATTTCCATGTTGTGATTATGATAATAGGAAGAAATTTCAGACCATTAGTTATTTGGACATGCAGGAATAATGTCTCACAAACCAACAAAAAAATAATAATTAATGTCAAAATGTTAAAATACAAAACAATAATTCATTATGAAAAATAAAGACTACACAATGAGCAAGTTGTTATAGTGAGACATTAAGGAGAGTTTGGCAATATAATAATTCTCTCCTAGCACACTGTAGCACCCAAACAGATTAACAATTATACACTAATTATATACCTTTTAGTTTCATTTTATATTTGTATAGATTTTAAAGTAGTTTAATTTATATAAATATATTTACCGGTTTAATTTAAAAATGTAATTAACTGGTGTGCTTTTAGTTTTGCATGAATCAATACAACATAAAAAAAAAAGACCTATCATTTTATTCTAAATACAGAATTGTGGTTTATTGATAAGCAAATTGCAATCAGGGTAATTCACTATACTGAAAAATTGTGGAGAATTTGCAGAGAAATTTAACATTTAGGCCAAAAAAGTAATCTCATTCTAATAGTAATAGTAATTTAAAAAAAAAAAAAACATTAAATCTCAATCTAAATACACCTAATTACTAAAATGCTGTATGTAGTTTTTAATAAAAACCTTTGAAATTTAACAAGCTATACTATGGAAAGACTAAGAGCAAACTACTCAGATGACCACAGGTAAAGAACGGAGTGACCCTTTAATGCTAAAGTTGCTTTGAAAACTTTTGGAAAAATGTACTTTTTCCATGCTGTAGATATACGTAGTTTGAAAAATAGTAAATGCAAAGTGGTAGTCGGTATTAGAGATGTCGCGAACATGGATGCTATCCAGGAGGTGGGAGGGTCTGGGAGGGAGGGTCTGCTGGAGATTGGCCGGGATGTGTCGGCTGACCGAAGTTCGCCACGAACCGCGGCGAACCGTTCGCGAGAAGTTCGCGGACGGTTCGCTACATCTCTAGTCGGTATCTGTGGAGGTAGACATGAGGAACGTACTGATAATAAATGGGTGGAAGGGAGGGGTCCATGAATCCTGGTATTTTTTAGCTGCAAATATCTAGCAGCTGTTGGTATTAACAATGCTTAATAGTTGGTTTTTGTTGACAACCATGGAAACAAGTCCACTGTTGGTAATTATCTTCAGCAAACTGGCAATTAAACCCAAAGTAGGAGAGACACTATGTATGTCAGATTCTACGGTCTCATAATTTGATTACCCATAACACCTGATGGCTAAAATGACAAATGGCTACCTAATCCTGTACAACATACATTATGGCTGTTCACAGTCACTGTGACCGTGGTTCCCATCACTGGAGGCGGAAGACTGACCCTTTTTGTAGGTCCCCAGGTTATTCTTATTTCTTAGTCACCCTCTGCCCAGTATAGGTGTGTAATTTATTGTTCATTATTACATGTTTGTGTGCTCTCCTGTCCTCTTAAAACTTGCAATGGAGCCTGTACAGCGCCATCTGGTAGTTGCAATGATCGTGAAACAGCTATATGTACTATCTAAATAGCAAGACATGTTAATTTGCATATTCTGGTAGATTTGCATATTATCATTCCTGCAGGCAGGGGAGATAGTTTGAGTTAGTTATGATCTTCCCCACCCCCCTTTAAATATGTTATAGTGTTATTGTGACTTTCTGTGTGTTTAACCATACAGTTTGATTATTTGTATTTTATTAAAGTTGTCACCATAAGTTAAATGTAATGTGCATATGTGCTAATCACTCCCAATGTGCAACTCACATAGAAGACTAGAGACAAAATGCACCAGGTTTTCAGATGGTACTGAATATTAGAAGTATATATGTAGAATAAGAGAAAAAACTCACATGGATAAGAACCTATAAATACTGGCTCAAGTATAAATGACAATGTGCTATATATGGATAGCACCATTCCCATTGGAAACCAGTAACATAGCAGCTGTGACAACCTACTGGTTGATTTGTTTGGAGAGGAACTCAGTTGCAGGATAATGGCAACCCTTTGCAAACATGACCTTCCCAGGTGCCTGAGAGGGATATGGGAACCTGGGAGATCAATAAGGGCATGGCGAAGGGAAGAAACCATAAAAAAGCAGGCAGGAAGTGATGTCAGGTGGTCCGATGGTCAGGGCAGGAAAGAAGCGGGGTCAAGAGTCAAGCCAAAGGTCTAAAGCCAGAAAATCCACAAATAGGACAAAGGTTGGAGACAAGAAGCGTGATCAGGATTTGAGTCAAGGGTCAGAAACCGAGAAGTTTTACCGAGAAGCCGGAACCAGGAAACCGAAACCAGAAACAAGAATCGTGAAACAGGATCAGGAACACAACTCAAGGATCAGGAAACAGAATCAGGAATTGGGGTCAGGAAGATGGATCAAGAGTCAGAAAACAGGTCAAGGAATCTGGATCAAGAGTCAGACACAAGGCTCAGGAATCAGGACCAGGAGACTGATGCAAGAACCAGAAAAAATAAGTACTGACCAAGTTAAGTGATTGGCTATATATACAGAGAGCTGATCTCTTTCCACCTTCTTGTCGGCAGAGCCCCCAGTGGCCATAAAGATGAGCTAGGACCTGGCGTCTTCTCGATAGCTTCTCCAGCCGCCCAGCTGCCTCAATCGGTTTCTGGTTTCGGTTTCCTGACCATGAGGTTACAGAGTGGCAGCACTCGAGATCCTGCTCCCAGGACGCCATTTGCATGCTGGAGCAAGTAAGTGGAGGCGGGCACCGTGATCGCAGCAGACTACAGATAACCGGATGAAAAGAAAAGTAAGGAAACTTTATAACTTACAATAAAATGCCACTTTGCTATACATAAAAACAAATGAATAAAATAAGTCTTCAGGGACCCTGATATGGGTTTTGCTGTGATAAATCAGCTTCCTCAGTCAATGTCTTGCTGCTGTGGGGACTCCAGTTTTAAACCCACCAAGTCAAGTTCATGATGTCACGTTTTTGCAAAGGTGCATCTAATCGACAGGTTCTACATTCAATCCAGGAACATGAATATTTTGTAAACGCCTACCGAGGGTGTGTGTAGATCTGTAATTGGAAAGTCCTGATTCTGGCATCTCCTTCGTTGGCCTGATGAGCAATACAAAATAAAGGGGAAAAAGAGTATATTATGATCATGGTGGTAATCAAACGCAAATAGCAATATATATATAAATCTCGTGTTGAAAAGTAACAACAATATATTGCAAGATATTTGTCTACGAAAAAATAAAATAGCTATTGTACTAAATGGACAACCAGTTGTTTAATAAATGATATTATTATAATAATTTTAATAGCGTTTTTTTAATGTTAATAAAGATGATACTGAGTAATTATTATAAGAAGGCTACTATATAGTAGGTGCTAAAAACTGGTGTAGCATAATCAAAATCCATAAAAAATATAAACTTATTATAAAATAAAAGAGAATCCAAGTATTTATTAGAAATATGTAGATCAAGTGTGAATGTAAATACCATCTGGTATATTAAGAAATCAAATACAAAATCAGCATTTAGACCAAACGATCACAATGTATTGGGAAATCTAAAAATGTTTAAAATATAAAAATAACATTAATACAAAAATGTATAGATCAAGAGGGAACAGCATGGGGAAGAGGAGAGGAAGCTCAGCTCTGCACAGAATGTAGTGAGAGTAAGACATCAGGGCAGCTACTGGCAGTCATCTGAACCACCACAGATCTAATTGTACCACCCCAACCCCCCATGCAAGCATTTATAGGTAAAGAAGGCACTGCTCAATCAAGCTTCTAATCTATAAGGATTTGAGGAAATATCTAGACCTGAACAGATGCACGGCACTCGAGCTCTGGCAAAACACCGCCAGAAAAGCACTAATAGAGCACCTTGAAGGGAATTACAAAGGCACTGAAAGCAAGCAATAGCCTCCAGAAGCTATTGGGAAGCACTCACGCAAGACCCGAGGGCTGAGTGAGGATCACACCCGTGACATCAGCCAGCTTCTCTCCCAAGCCAGGAGGCCCAAAATGGCTGCCTTACTACCTGACTTGGTGCAAGAATCCCTGTCACCCTCAGATGATGAGGAACTGGGTTTCCCAGTGACACCAAATCCCTTTAGCAGGGGCAGAGATGAGTCTTCTTAATGCAACCCCCCCAGCTACCAGATCGGATCTCTCCAATATGGTCTCAGACCTCAAGGCCTTCTTCGCTTCAGAGTTGGCTGTACTGAAAGAAGAATTGAACTCACTGACAGGCTGCATATGGCCACAGATAAAGATGTGCATGATCTGAGGATCAAACAAGACAGATGCTGGAACTCTCTACAACCTGTGCACAATTATTATTATTATTATTATTATTATTTACATTTATATAGTGCCAACAGATTCCGTAGCGCTTTACAATAATATGAGAGGGGTATTTAACTATAAATAGGACAGTTACAAGAAAACTTACAGGAACAATAGGTTGAAGAGGACCCTGCTCAAACGAGCTTACAGTCTATAGATTAAGTGCCAGGGTCGGACAACTAGAGGATACAGTCAGGCTACGCAATTAGAAAGTGAGGGGAGTCTGTGACACCATCGGCGCAGTTGAACTGCCACAATTCATCAGGAGGTTGCTCACCACAGCCTTAACACCTAAATAAGCTAATGGAATGGTCCTAAAGGGACTTTTCCACATACCTGGGCAATCCTGCAACGTAAACCCAACACCAAGAGATGTTAAATAATGTGTTTTAAATTGAGGAGCAACAAGGAAAGTTTCCTGCGAGCGATTAGGGGACAAACCCTTTATGCCTTTGAGGAACACCAGCTAAGTTTCTTCAATGACCTCAGCCGCCAAACTTTGCAATGGAGCGCTTCCATCAGAGAAATAGCCTCTCATCTTTGAGCTGCTGATATCCAATACAAATGGGGCTGCCCTAGGGCACTTGTTGCCAAAAAGGATGGCCACCGACACAGGCTGATATCATCTGTAGACGCTGCAAAGTTTCTACAGTACCTGGGACTTAATACAACCCAGTCTACTCACCAATGGGACATAGCCAACGTGGCAGTCTTCACCCCATCGAGATCCACGGCTTCCTGTTGACCTGGCTTTCCAGACTGCATTGTATCACTTTGAAGCATGCAGAGTGGCTCTCACCTTTGTTTAAATTTTCCCTTTTCTTTTGATATTTGCCATGCCTAACTCACTTCATTATTTTATTGGTCTTTTATGTTTTTAAAATGTGTGAGAAATCCTGCATATTTACTAGGAGCATAACAGAGCTCCTGCTGGTAACTAGAAAAAGCCTTATAGGTGACTATCATCTCTCCCCCCTCACCCACCCCAGAGTGCGAGGGTTATAGTACGCATTATTTTTGAGGCTAATCCTATTGTGATATCTACCTGTGCAGATAAACGGGGATGCCCATAGAATACATGGCAACTCACATGCACTCCTTACCGTAATATAGACTTCTCACCACTATTAGCAGAGCCGTCCACGGCTTCTTGCACTGACAAACACTTACCCTGACAAACACCCCAAGTTCTATCGGACCACAGGTGACACAGACACCTTACTAACCTCATTTACACCACTACTTTTATTTATGGTAAACAAAAAGGGGATAATGACTACTGCTAGCTAACTAGCCTCTTGTGTCCTAAAGTTTCTCCAGGACATGTTAACAGGGTTTTTAATTAATTATTGTTTATGACAGTCTTCATTTAACTGTGCCAGATGTGATGTATTGCGCCTTACCGCTTGCACAATGTCACGACCTGCTTTATAACTGCTCTAATAACCTATCTAAAAAGCAATAAGGAACTGCACTCAATCTCATTACTCTGAGCCAGGGTGCAACTAAACTAGGACCGAGCACCAGGTCCCAATAACAATAAGCATGAAATACAAAGGTTTGACAAAGACTGTGTAGGTCGAAACATTGTATTACATTGGGCTTCAATAAGTTTGCCATTTCTGAAACCTTGGAGTGCCTAAACCATTTTGCTTATTGCTCTAATAACCTAGACACCCACATTCCCGCACCAAAAAACCCTCTTCACAACAGGCTCAAGCTGACTCTCCCAATATTATGTAGAGAAGACATAGGTTTCAAGCATGAGGGATTTTACAGGCTGACGTTTCAACCACTAACAGGTTAACGTATCACTTGTGTTCTATTTATTGTTTTCATTGCAGTACTGGAACCTTTAAATATTTATTTTCTTTTTGTTGCTTTTTGGTACCCGTCATGCCCGGCACGTTCAATGGTGTCCCACGTGATGTAGTGGTAAATGTAACACTCACCTGGAAATACCAACATGGTACTTGTATAGGTTCCTCTACTGATAGCAATGTCTCTTACTAAGCGTGTACCTTCCTCTTCACATAATACTCTTGTGAACTAAGCTCACTTAAATACATGATGTTCTACTTTACCTTATTATTATAAAAAGGGCTATGTAATCGTTTGACGTTTTACACTTCATCTATGACAACTCTGATGGTATATAGCTGTGATAAAATGTCTGCTCAAGCCTTTATATTTTACTGTGCACGCAAAAACAAAGAATATAAAAATTTTAAAAAATTATAGCTCAAGTATAAACACCAGCTTTTATTTTATAGAAACATATAAGTTCAAAATCCACTTTTAGACCAACTGGTCATAAAGTATTGAGTTTAAAAATCCATTGCATCTCATTTTTACCTATCTTTGTAATAAAATTTCCTTCTCTCCCGTACTTGCTAATTTTAGCAATGGGGAAAAATTGAAGGTGTCTGGTTTAGAATTATGTTTTAGTTTGAAATGTTTCTACAATGTTCCTCAACTCTAATGTGGAAGGGTCAAATGCTTCTGCCTATATAATGTTAACACAGCACAGGGGGGCAAATAAGAGCATAGATATTAGTTTTAGAAAAATAGGTGGTTAAATATTTTATAGGATATTTTATTGTGATAATCTGTAAAATTCATCATTTGTATATTTTTTTTTGCAGGAGTTTGCATGCTCGACATTGATTTTTTTAATTTTGACTTTTTAAAATGATTTTTTATTTTACCCAAAACTTTTTAAATTTCTACCTACTCTAAATATGATATCAGGTTTTCTAGGGATCTGTGCTTTCAACTCACGATCTTTTAAAAATTGGCCAACATTTCTTTATGATACTCTTTCATATATTTGCTCTTGTAGTTGTAATCGGAGATAAATGGAATTTTTTAATTAAAATTTTTATTTTCTTTTTGTATTTTAATAATTGATTCCTTGGTAATTTTTTGTTTGTCAACTTTAATTAATAAATCAATTTGATGTACTTTTTCATCAAAATCATTTTTTATTTTATTCATCGGATCTTTATATTTTTGCATCTGTACAATTCCTTTTAATGTGTAAGAACTGTAGCCCAATTTGGGTTATGGCAGCTCTTGGTAGAGATAAAGCTATTTATATCAACAGATTTAAAAAAAAAAAGAAAGAAAAAGGTTTTACATAGAAACATAGAATGTGACAGCAGATAATAACCATTCGGCCCATCTAATCTAAATACTTTCATTTGTGCCTGGCCTTATCTTATAGCTAGGTTAGCCTTATGCCTATCCCACGCATGCTTAAACTCCTTTACTGTGTTAACCTCTACCACTTCAGCTGGAAGGCTATTCCATGCATCCACTACCCTCTCAGTAAAGTAATACTTCCTGATATTATTTTTAAACCTTTGTCCCTCTAATTTAAGA